GATACCACTCAGTACAGTGGGGAGGAGCATCTCCTGGGTCCGAGAGCTCCAAAGGGCAGGGGCACCTTGCAGTCATCTTGACCCTGGGGACTTACCTATTGCTGGCAGATGCTGGGAGCAGTTCTGTGAGGTATGCAAAGCAGGCAGGCCCTACATGACTAAACATCTGCTTATTTGGGCTGTGTTTGAAACAATTGGATGTATAAACAAAGTTTGAAGCCAGTGGGCTTTATGCATTAACAGGTTTCAACCTAGAGTGAAAAAAATAACCTAGGGGACTGTCTTTGGCTCATTTATATAGTAACGAGACAGAACAGAGTACATCGTAACTTAGATTTCTTGTCAGCAGCATACAAGACCACAAACAGCCTATTTGCTTATTATAACAGTTGCCTCTTCATTAGGAGTCCTTATCTGTATCACTGACATACCTCCAAGGAGTATAGTCATTGTAAATACAGCCGATTGCCATACAGATTATTCTAGCATAGAGGAGTTTCATATACAACAGCCTATCTTGTAACAGACCATAAGCATAGATTTCCAATCTACACAGGGGTGACAATTTCAAAAGAAACACTTCCCCTCCAACGGTCCTATATGATACTCGATTCTCAACCTATATGCTATTTGCTAATCAGGGATAACTTTTACCATAAGAATGTTGCCTTTTAACACAACTGATATTCCACCTTGACAGAACCTAGAAGTTTACCAAGATCGATTGACAAGGCCATTGACCCAGACAGAAAGAGTTCAGACCTATCATTGATGATCTATCAGAAAGGAGCTTGTATCACACCACAGGAATTCTCTAGGATGTCAGCTTCGGATGAATTGACATTGCTGTGTGGTTTGATTGTCTGATTCCACGTCTATTTTTTAGATGTCCTGTTTCTGGTGCCTCAAAATCCCTTCTCTCTGAAGTTTGCCTTCCCTGGAGAAGCAAGATGGCAGAATCGAATTCTGACTTTGACCTGCTGTGGTATCTGGAGAATCTCAGTGACAAGGAATTTCAGAGTTTTAAGAAGTATCTGGCACGCAAGATTCTGGATTTCAAACTGCCACAGGTTCCACTGATTAATTTAAGGGCGACAAAAGAAGAACTGGCTAACTTGTTGCCGATCTCTTATGAGGGACAGCATATATGGAATATGCTATACAGCATATTTCTAATGATGCGTAAGGAAGATCATTGTATGAAGATCATTGGCAGACGAAACCGTGAGTGGGGTCATGAGAAGGGTGGGTAGAAATCGGGGCACTTCACAGGAAGCTGGGTGTTGGGCCTTTTTTTTTTTTTAATAGGTTTTTGGGAAACAGGTGGTATTGGATTACATGAGTAAGTTCTTTAGTGGTGATTTCTAAAATCTTGGTGCCCCCACCACCCGATCGGTGCACACTGTCCCCAGTGTGTAGTCTTTTATGCCTCACCTCCCTCTCACACTTCCCGCTGAGTCCCTGCAGTCCAATGTATCATTCTTATACCTTTGCATCCTCTTAACTTAGCTCCCACTCATAAGAACATACAATGTTTGGTTTTCCATTCCTGAGTTACTTCACTTAGAATAATGGTCTCCAATCCCATCCAGGTTGCTGCAAATGCCATTATTTCATTTCTTTTTATCACTGAGTTGTGTGTGTGTGTGTGTGTGTGTGTGTTCACAATTTCTTTATCCACTTGCTGATTGATGGACATTTGGGCTGGTTCCGTATTTTTGCAATCGTGAATTGTGCCACTATAAACGTGTGCACATGTCTGTCTTGTATAATGACTTCTTTTCCTCTGGGTAGATACTCAGTAGTAGGATTACTGGATCAAATGGTTAGTTTTCCTTTTAGTTCTTTAAGGAATATCCACACTGGTTTTCATAGCAGTTGACATTCCCACCAGCAGTGTAAAAGTGTTCCCTTTTACCACGTTCACACCAACATCTATCTTTTTAATTTTTTTTTATCATGGCCATTCTTGCAGGAGTAAGGTGGGATTGCATTGTGGTTTTGATTTGCATTTCCCTGATCATTAGTGATATTGGGCATTTTTTTCATATTCATTTTTCAAGGACTATCAGATATTGGCCATTTGTGTATCTTCTTTTGAGAAGCGTCTATTCATGTCCTTAGTCTACTTGCTGATGGAATTGTTTAACTTGGTGGTCTTGATATGTTACTTTTCCATCCCCAAAGAACCTGTCTTCAGAACTGGGAGTCACGTGAGGGCCAGGGATGGATTGGATGAGGGTCGTGTTCTATCTTGTGGCTTTCTGATTCTACCTTTATTTTCTATTATGCTAACCAGCTTATTTGAAAGTAGCCAGCCAAAGGATTAGACTCAAAGTACTTAGCTAGAGCAGATTTCCCAGCATGGAGCTCTGTCCTAGAACCATAAGATCCAGCTGTAGAAATGTAGGGGGCTCTGTGTGAAGATCATGGAGGGTTAACACCCCGGGTACCCTCCGACCGTAAGATCCAACTACAGAAATGTAGGGAGCTCTGTGTAAAGATCATGCAGAGTAGTATTTGGGAGGTTGAGGCAGGTGGATTACCTGAAGTCAGGAGTTCGAAACCAGCCTGACCAATATGGTGAAACCCCTGTCTCTACTAGAAATACAAAAATTAGCCGGGCGTGGTGGCACATGCCTGTAATCCCAGCTACTCGGGAGGCTGAGGCAGGAGAATTGCTTGAACCTGGAACCTGGGAGGCAGAGGTTGCAGTGAGCTGAGATCACACCATTGCACGCCAGCCTGGGCGACAGAGCAAGATTCTGTCTCAAAAAAACAAAAAACAGGCTCTCTGTTGCCCATGCTGGAGTGCGGTGGTGCAATCATAGCTCACTGTAGCCTTGAATCCTGGGCTCGAGCAATCTTCCTGCCTCAGCCTCTGGAGTAGCTGGGATGACAGGTACACACCACCAGGCCTGGACATAACTGACTTTAAATACCAGGTTTTTTTGTCATGTCTTTTCTATCCATTTTATTTATATATCTATTTATATTTATATCTTAATGTATATTTATGTTTATAGAAATATATATACATACATGTTTATAGAAATATATATACATATATACATTTTATATATAAATTATATGTATAGACATTTATATACATATATGTATATATAATATATAAATATATACACATATAAATATATACAATTTTTTGAGTCTCGCTCTGTCACCCAGGCTGGAGTGCAGTGGCCTGATCTCAGTTCACCACAACCTCTACCTCCTGGGTTCAAGCAATTCTCCTGCCTCAGCCTCCCGAGTAGCTGGGATTACAGGCACCCACCACCACACCCAGCTAGCTTTTTGTATTTCTAGTAGAGATGGGGTTTCACCGTGTTGACCAGACTGGTCTCGAACTCCTGACCCCATGAGCCACTGTGCCTGGGCCTATCCATTGTATATCCTCTAGCCATCTAGAAAGACTCATAGGGACCAGCCAGGCAAGTACTGAAAATGTACAAAGTAGCTGCCCAGCTCTAGGTAAAATATATGTTCAGGTTTACTACTGTCTCTTAATTGGTCATATGGAGAAAAAGATTTCAGGTTGTCTCCAGTCATAGCCTAAAACAAATGATTGAACATCTACTAAACTGCTGTCGATATTTGAAAATGGTACTGAGGCCCCAGGACTACCAGCCCTTCTGATGTGATGAGAAACCAGAGATCTGGAGTATCTGCCTCTTTTTAACATTTAATGGTTGGCAGCTATTTCAAATTTTAAAATGACTTGAAATTTAAGTAAAACCATCTTGTAGACCAGGTCCAGGTATGGTCCCAGATTTAAACCAAAATGAGAGGATACAGAGTCTGAGGCAGAATCCGGTGAGCAGTACGGAAATTTGGTTAGCATACTTCACTCACCCACCTTATTTGAAAGCTGAAAACTGCTTTTCACATCTTCTCGCATATAAATTTACAACCCAAAAAAAATCTATTACATAGCATACAGTATTCAAAAAGTACAAAAAAAGAAACTAAAGTCACCTGGAATCCCACAACCTTGAGCTATACCTAAGGTTAATAGCTATCTCCTTCAGGAACTTTCTAGTCAGACAGATACAACTGTGTAAAAATAGTCAGGCCAGGTGCAGTGATTCACACTCGTACTTTGGGAGGCCGAGGCAGGTGGATTGCTTGAGGCTGGGAGTTTGAGACCAGCCTTGCCAACATGGCGAGACCCTGTCTCTACAAATAAAATTTAAAAATAGCCAGGTGTGGCGTGTGCCTGTAATCCCAGCTAGTTGGGAGGCTGAAGTGAGACAACTGCTTGAACCCGGGAGGCAGAGGCTGTGGTGAGACATGATTGCGCCATTGCACTCTAGCCTGGATGACAAAGCGAGACCCTGTATCCAAAAAAAAAAAAAAAAAAAAGTCACACCCTATACTATACTTAGGCCTGTTTTGATTTATCAAATTTTCACCTAAGCATTTTTGGATAAGGTTAAAAACATCTTAAGCCATCCCCATTCTGGGGTCCCTGCTGAAGGAGTAAGGATTTATCAGTTTTCATGGGTATCCGTCCAAGGTTTTTACAAGTGAGTTATATCAGCATATCTAGATAGGAGAACAATTGGAATGGAAGAAGTAATCTATAAAGTCCATTGAAGGTCAAAGGCATGTTGAAAACTTATTAAAATGGTAGAGGATGACCAGGCGCAGTGGCTCACACCTGTAATCGCAGCACTTTGGGAGGTCAAGGCAGGTGGATCACCTGAGGTCACGAGTTCGAGACCAGCCTGGCCAACATGGTGAAACTCCGTCTATACTGAAAATAGAAAAATTAGCCCAGCATGGTGGGAACCTTAACAGGTGGAAAGTTTAGCAAGGTTTGTTTTGCATAGTGTATATTTTAAGTTACAGAGCATCCATCTGATTCTTACACTCTATATACATAATATATGGGGATATATACGTAATATATTATGAAACTTATAAAATTATTACCTCCTAATTCTAAAAGCTGGGTTTTATGTACGTATGCTTCTATTCAGTTTTTATTTTACTTTTGACAAATAGTTATGCGTAATTATAAGGGACAATGTGATGTTTAGATATGCTTCCATTGTGGAATGTGGACATGAAGCTAACAAATCTATTGTCTCACATACTTATTCTCGTGTGTGTGTGTGTGTGTGTGTGTGTGTGTGTGTAACTGGAAAGCTTCTCAATGGCAAAGGAAATGAGTGAAGAGACCCCTGGACTAGGAGAATATGTATTTGTAAACTATGTATGATACGGAACTAATATCCAAAATATATAAGGAACTCAATAACAAGAAAATGGATAACCCAATCAATAAATTGGCCAAAAACAAACAAACAAAAAACACCTAAATATACATCTTCCAAAGATTTTTTTCTTGATTATAAATCATGGTTTATAATTACGAACCATACTCACCAGCATCATCATGGTTTTCTACTTCGAATCTCGATTTTTTATTGTATACTGAACATCATATATAAAAACAGTAAGGAGAAAGTCCTGTCTCGGCCAGTCTGTTGGGATGTGATGAATCGGAACTGGGCAGCCCTGGTAGTCTTGAGGGTGGGATCAGGCCCGTTTATCCATCAGGCTCATCTCCAGGGCAGGGAGCTAGCGTGTCACATTCTAGTACATTCAGGTCCACCACACCAGCCCTGCTGCAGTTGTTAATCGTTGGCTTTTATTTATCCCATCAAAGTTCTTCCAGGCTGCCTGACTCCCTCTTCTGCCTGCCCTTACCCAGGGATGAAAACATTTTCAGGTATCTGCTCACTGAGGAAGAAGTCATCTCCTTCTAAGAATTCACTTATTTGGATCATTTCTGTATCATACCTGTACGGTAGCTTTATACTTATGTCTTAACATTTTTGTTTTTGCAGTAGGACTGTAATCTTGTGTATTCTCAAGAAATAAGACTCCCTTTTACGATACATTTTAACTTTATTCCATATATCATTTCATTTATCTTAAGTAGTTCATTAAATGATCTGGATTTAAGTAATGATATGCATAAACAAGAAAATAGAAGGAAAGATGAACGTGTAACTCATGACTGACAGGCCAAGATGTAATAAGCAGATACTCTGAGCTGAATACATACCAGGAAACAGTCCCTGAGCTCGAGTTATTGTCTCAAAGGAAAAACTGGGTGTGAAACGAAACATTATAATTGAAGGCTACATAAAATGCTAGGGAACCCCCAAAAAGGAAAGAAATATGTTCTTGATGCCAACATATGAGAGGGAAGCCCTTGCAGGATAAAGAGCAATGCTCAAACAGATCTGTTGACCCCATTGTATGGGTTAAATAGGTTTTATTCAACCTTTTTCCTTTAAAGCAACATGGGCTAGGCGCAGTGGCTCATGCCTGTAATCCCAGCACATTGGGAGGCTGAGGCAGGTGGATCACCTGAGGTCAGGAGTTCGAGACCAGCCTGGCTAACATGGCAAAACCCTGTCTCTACTAAAAATACAAAAAATTAGCCAGGCGTGGTGGTGTATACCTGTAATCCCAGCTACTCAGGAGGCTGAGTCAGGAGAATCACTTGAACTCAGGAGGTGGAGGCTGCAGTGAGCCCAGATCGTGCCACTGCACTCCAGCCTGGGCAATAAGAGCAAAACTCCACCTCAAAAACAAATCAACATGATAGTAAATATCTTTGTACCTATATCTTTGTGATATAGTAAGTAAAAAATTTCTACTACACTTTTCCTGTATCCAACACGAAAAGAAGCTAAAACTGTTCTTACATCTTGAACTTTTATCTTTGTTCTATTTTCTGCCCCGTACTCGCTGGATTAGGCAATCAGGAGGCATGCAAGGCTCTCATGAGGAGAAAACTCACGCCGCGATGGGAAAATCACACTTTTGGAGAATTTCATTATAAATTTTTTTGTAACGTTGCATCAGATGTGTTCTACGTACTTCAATTAGCCTATGATTCTACCAGCTGTTATTCAACCAACGATCTCAATGTGTTCCTGATGGGAGATAGAGCATCTGGAAAAACCATGACTATAAACCTGGCTGTGATGAAGTGGATCAACGGCGAGATGTGGCAGAACATGATCTCGTACGTCGTTCACCTCACTTCTCACGAAATAAACCAGATGACCGACAGCAGCTTGGCTGAGCTGATCGCCAAGGACTGGCCTGACGGCCAGGCTCCCATTGCAGACATCCTGTCTGATCCCAAGAAACTCCTTTTCATCCTGGAGGACGTGGACAACCTAAGGTTCGAGTTAAATGTCAATGAACAGGCTTTGTGTAGTAACAGCACCCAGAAAGTTCCAATTCCAATTCTCCTGGTCAGTTTGCTGAAGAGACAAATGGCCCCAGGTTGCTGGTTCCTCATCTCCTCAAGGCCCACGAGGGAGGAAAACATCAAAATGTTCTTGAAAACCACAGACTGCTACGTGACCTTGCAGTTCTCGAATGAGAAGAGGGAGCTATATTTTCACTCTTTCTTTAACGACCGTCAGAGGGCGTCGACAGCCCTCATGCTTGTACATGACGATGAAATACTCACAGGTCTGTGCCGGGTCGCCATCCTATGCTGGATCACATGTACTGTCCTGAATCGGCAGATGGACAAGGGGCACGACCCCCAACACTGCTGCGAAACACCCACGGATCTACATGCCCACTTTCTTGCTGATGCGTTGACATCAAAGGCTGGACTCACTGCCAATCAGTATCACCTAGGTCTCCTAAGACGGCTATGTTTGCTGGCTGCAGGAGGACTGTTTCTGAGCACCCTCAATTTCAGTGGTGAAGACCTCAGATGTGTTGGGTTTACCGAGGTTGATGTCTCTGTGTTGCAGGCCGTGAATATTCTTTTGCCGAGCAGCACTCATAAAGACCGTTACAAGTTCATACACTTGAACGTCCAGGAGTTTTGTGCAGCCATTGCATTTCTGATGGCAGTACCCAACTGTCTGATCCCCTCAGGCAGCAGAGGGTATAAAGAGAAGAGAGAACAATACTGTAACTTCAATCAAGTGTTTACTTTCATTTTTGGTCTTCTAAATGAAAACAGGAGAAAGATTCTTGAGACAACCTTTGGCTACCAGCTACCCATGGTAGACAGCTTCAGGAGGTACTCGGTGGAATACATGAAACATTTGGGCCGAGACCAGGAAAAGTTGACGCACCATGGGTCTTTGTTCTACTGTCTCTTTGAGAATCAGGAAGAAGAATTTGTGAAGAAGGTTGTGAACACTCTCAAGGAGGTTACCGTTTACCTTCAATCAAACAAGGATATGATGGTCTCATTATACTGTCTTGAGTACTGCTGTCACCTGAGGACTTTTAAGTTGAGTGTTCAGCGCATCTTTGAATACAAAGAGCCACTTGTAAGGCCAACTGCTAGGTGAGTCTTTAAAACATAAATCCTCTTTTCTGTCTTCGTAAGACCTGCCCATAATTCTAGAGCTTGTTGACCAGAACAAGACAAACTCGGGGCCATGAAGAACTTAATTTCCAATCGAGCTTCTAATTAGACCAGTGACTTAAATCTCTCTGCTTCTATTTAAACTCAAACTTTGAGTTAAGCCTCGGCACTGTTGACATTTTGGGCCAGCTGTTCTTTTGTGGTGGGGGTCTATCTTGCGCATTGTAAGTGGTTTAGCAGTATCTCTGGTCTCTCCTGTGGCCAGTAGGGTCCCTTTTTCCCCACTTGTGACAGCAACAAAAATCTGTATCACCAAATGTCTGCTGAGGGGCAGAATTGCCTCATTGCAAACCAGTGGTTTAACCTAATTTCTTCAGATCTGTTGTAGAGATTAAACAGAAATAAACCTTGTATTGTTACATTATAGGAATGTTCATGATAGCACAAAACATGCAACATTGATTTTTAATATTGAAGTTTTAAAATATTCTCGCATTTAAAGGCCCTGCACTCAGATGTATCTTACCTGAATATGGAATCACCAACTACTTTAGTGGATCTGAATGTTGTTTTTTCATGCTTGACCCTACTTTATTTCTTGCTGCCTGGTATTAAGTCTGGGTCAGACAACAGACACTCTCAAAAGATACTTTAATTTACGTGTTTTACAAATTGCTGGAGTTGAATCGATTCCATCGGAAAACTCAATTTTTCTTCTATGTAGTCAAATGAAGAGCCTTGTCTACTGGAGAGAGATCTGCTCTCTTTTTTGTACAATGGACACCCTCTGGGAGCTGCATCTTTTTGACAGTGACCTTAATGATATTTCGGAAAGGATTCTGTCTAAAGCCCTGGAGCATTCTAGCTGTAAACTTCGTACACTCAAGTAAGTACTCTATCAACTTCTGCCTTAGAGGTTCCCCCAGGAATAACGGTGATCTTTTTCTTTCTTTGGGAGAAGATAATATACAAAACACACTTTCAGGTCAGGCTCATCAGGGCCTAGGCTCCTTCTGTACTTCTCAACCATCTTTAGTGTGTCTGTGATAAAGATGACCTTGGGCCACAATGGCGTCTGAGGTCCCAGTCATCATGGCTGCCTTCAAGGCAGGAAGCAACAGAAGGGAGAAGGAAAGGTTGATCTAGAAGCTTCAGGAGCTTCCTTGATGGAGCCTTTTCCAAACTCTTTCTTGCATTACTTCTGCTTACATCTCATTGACCTGTTTACCTTGTCCTCACACAGCTTCATAGAACTACAAAGGTGGACTGGGAAAGTAGTCCCTTGCCATCAGGAAGAAATAGTAACAACTGGATTTATCCTAAGGAAGAAAGCAAACATGGGTCAGGCTAGGAGTCTAGCAGTTTCTTTCCTAGGGAATGCATTAGAATCAGGTGAAAAACAGCTGTACTTGCCTAAACAGTCATTGGGAAAATGAGTATTTATCTGAGTTTATAATAGCGCTATAGGAAATGTCACTAAACTATTCAGTGCACATCAACATATATGATCTTAGGATTCCGGAAGCCCAGGAGTTAGCTTTATTTTCATTCAAGAAGAATGCATACTTTGGGGTGCTTGTCTAATCACTAGGATATATCCATGGGGAAAAAAGACAAATTTCCTTGCTTGCTATCTGATGAGACAGAATATGGGCAGACATAATAAGTACATGTGTTTTAAAGTATTTTAGGGTAATGATGTTATGGGGAAAAGAATGGCAAGGTCAGGGTGCATAAGTGGGTATTTAGGGGTATGGGAGGGTACAAGCCGTAGTAATAAGTTCCACAGAGAAAGTGAGATTTGAGCAAGGACTCGAATGAGGTGAAAGAATGAGCCACATAAACTGTTGGTCATCCCCTGGGAGGGGTGGGGATCCATGAAACGAAGGCTTTGTGTTCAGAGACCTATGTGGTTAGACCAGTGTGAGGCAGGAAGGGTATGACGGAAATGGCTCACAGGTATGTATGGCATGATCACATGATCATAGACCAGTGTGAAGTAGGAAGGGTATGACGGAAATGGCTCACAGGTATGTATGGCATGATCACATGATCATAGACCAGTGTGAGGCAGGAAGGGTGTGACGGAAATAGCTCACAGGTATGTATGGCATGATCACATGATCATAGACCAGTGTGAGGCAGGAAGGGTGTGACAGAAATGGCTCACAGGTATGTATGGCATGATCACATGATCATAGACCAGTATGAGGCACGAAGGGTATGACGGAAATGGCTCACAGGTATGTATGGCATGATCACATGATCATAGACCAGTGTGAGGCAGGAAGGGTGTGACAGAAATGGCTCACAGGTATGTATGGCATGATCACATGATCATAGACCAGTGTGAGGCAGGAAGGGTGTGACGGAAATGGCTCACAGGTATGTATGGCATGATCACATGATCATAGACCAGTGTGAGGCAGGAAGGGTGTGACGGAAATGGCTCACAGGTATGTATGGCATGATCACAGTGTTGTACATCAGTGTCGGGACTGGGTTTTCTGGAGTGAGGTGAGGAGTTTTGAGGGGTTTTGAGCAGAGGTGCCATAATTAGCTTGTGTTTTAAGAAGCTCATTCTGGATACTGTGTTTAAAAATGACCAATCAGGGGCCGTAGGACAGAATCAGAAAGTTCAGAGGAGGCTCCTTTTCCTGGTGTTTGCCAGGTGCGACTCCACGGTGCCTCCGAGGGTATGAATAGTAGAGGTTGGTGAGGTGCCAACTCCGGGGCGTAGGTTGACAAAGGATAATTCCTTGATTAAATCTAGACTAGGAGATAGAAGAGTTGCCCCAAGATCTTTGTTTTGGAAATTGCCACGTGAGAATTGCCACTGAGATGGGAAGCGATGGCGGGAGCAAGAATTTGAGGAAGGTCAGTCTAAAGTTGTTTGAGCTGAAGTTGCGATGTCTATTAGGTGTCCAAAGAGCAGTGTGGAATGTTTCTGAACTGAAGGTAAAATGTGGGTGTCATTCGTATATATATGTGTATAACACAAATGTATATTTAAAGCCAAGGACTGAGTTCACCAGGGGTTAGGAATGTTGCTCAGGAAGCAAAATGATCCCAAGACTGTTGCCCAGAGTTCTCCAACATGAAGTGGTTGGGGAGAAAAGCAGAAACTAGCGAAGGCCTTTGAGGGAGTCATTAGGCTACAAGGAAAAGTAAAGGGCGTGTGGTATCCTCGGATCCCAGTGAGGCACGTTTACTAACGAAGGAAAGGTCAACTGTGTCAGATGGCGGTCCTTATTCAAGGAGACTGAAGACTGAGAATTGACCAATGACATGAGTAAGGTGGAAGTCATTGTTGGCCAACAACAGTTCTGGAAGGGTAGTGAGAGCCGGAAAGCCTACTTGAAAATGGAGAGGAGAACTGAAGAATTTTAGGCTGGGTACAGTGACTTACCCCTGTAATCCCAGCACTTTGAGAGGCTGAGCTGGGTGGATCACTTGAGGTCGGGAGTTCTAGACCAACCTGGTCAACATGGTGAAACCCCGTCGCTACTAAAAATACAAAAATTAGCCAGGTGTGGTGGCATGCAACTGTAATCCCAGCTACTTGGGAGGCTGAGGCAGGAGAATCGCTTGAACCCGGGAGGCGGAGTTTCCAGTGAGCTGAGATTGCACCACTGAACTCCAGCCTGGGCAACAGAGTGAGACTCCTGTGTGTGCGTGTGTGTGCGTGTGTGTGTGTGTGTGTGTTTTAAAAAACCTTAAACAGTTTTGTTGCAACACAGGGCAAAGACATGGGAGAGAAGTTGTTTGTGTAAAATGGGGATCAAGAGAATCACTGGATAAAGGACTCTGGAAATACAGCAACATGGAAAACATCCGGTCTTCCACCAAGTAACCACATAGGCTGGGAAGTAAATTAAAAGGGCTGCCCGTGTGTTCTACGTCTGGATTTACCATAGGATCCCCAATCCTCAGTTATTCCTCCAAGGGTTGGCCAGCTTCCACATTTCCCTTCCTGTCTGTCTCCTTTAATGTTGAGTTGGAGATTCCTAACTCTTTTCTCTAGCTGGCCCTTAGAGACAATGACCAAAGCTGTTGCCCTGATGTCCTGCTTCAACTCCAAGGGAGTGATGAAAAACCTTCTTCCGGGGTGGGGAGTGAGGACCAGTGGTGGTAGTGGGACTCGAGGACAACTTCTTTTTCCTCAGTGAAACTGTGAATTGTTATTTGTTATTTTTTTGAGTCAGAGTCTTGCTCTGACTCTTCAAACAATTCTTCTGCCTCAGTCTCCCGAGTAGCTGGGATGACAGTTGCACGTCACCATGCCTGGCTAACTTTTCTATTTTTAATAGAAACAGGGTTTCACTATGTTAGCCAGGATGGTCTCGATTTCTTGACCTTGTGATCCCCCTGTCTCAGCCTCCCAAAGTGCTGGGATTACAGGCGTGAGCCACCCCACCCAGCCATGAATTATTTTTTTAACTTCAGGTTCAGTGGTACATGTGCAAGTTTGTTTATACAGGTAAACTTGGGTCACAGGTTTGACATACGTATTTTGTATATAAACTGTAAGACTGTATGCCCAGGTACTAAGCCTAGTACCTATTTTTTTTTTCTGATCCTCTCCCTCCTCCCCTCAAGTAGACCCCAGTATCTGTTGTTCCCCTCTTCAGGTCCATGAGTTCTCATCATTTAGCTCCCTCTCACAAGTGAAAACATGCAGTATTTGGTTTTCTGTTCCTGTGTTAGTTTGCTAAGGATAAGGGCCTCCAACTCCATCCATATTCCTGCCCTCCCCCCGCCCCACAGAAAAAAAAACACCAAAAACATGCCCTCGTTCTTTTTGATGGCTGCATAGTATTTCATGGTATGTATGTATCACATCTATCCAATCTTGTTGATAGGCATTAGGTTGATTGCATGTCTTTGCTATTGTGAACAGTGCTGCATTGAACATTCATGTGCATGTATCTTTTTGGTAGAATAATTTATATTCCTTTGAGTATACACCCAGTAATGGGATTGCTGGGTCAAATGGTAGGTCTGCTTTTAGCTCTTTGAGGAACCACCACACTGCTTTCCACAATGGTTGAATTAATTTACACTCCCACCAACAATGGGAACATCCTTGCCAGCATCTGTTTTATTTACATCACACACACACACACACACATACACACACACACACACACACACACACAGACAGCATACCACACACACACACACACATATATATATATATATTTTTTTTTTGAGGTGGAGTCTTGCTCTGTCACCCAGGCTAGGGTGCAGTGGCATGATCTCGACTCACTAGTCCTTCGCCTCACAGGTTCAAGTGATTCTTCTGCCTCAGCCTCCTGAGTAGCTGGGGTTACAGATATGCACCACCAAGCAGGCTAATTTTTTGTAATTTTGGTGGAGATGGGGTTTCACCATGTTGGCCAAGCTGGTTTTAAACTCCTGACCTCAAGTGATCCGCCCACCTTGGCCTCCCAAAGGGCTGGGATTACAAGCATGAGCCTCCACACTCGGCCTGTTATTTTTGGATTCTTAAATAGTAGCCGTTCTGACTGGTGTAAGATGTTATCTCGTGATTTTGATTTGCATTTCTCTAATCAGTGATATCGAGTTCTTTTTCATATGCCTGTTGTCTGCATGTATGTCACCTTCTGAAAACTGTTACATCCTTTGCCCACTTTTTAAGGAGGTTATTTTTTTCTTATAAATTTTAGTTCCTTATAGCTGTGGGTATTAGACCTTTGTCAGATGCAGTGTTTGCAAAGGTTTTCTCCCATTCTGTAGGTTGTCTGTTTACTCTGATAGTTTCTTTTGCTGTGCATAAACACTTTTGTTTAATTACATTCCAATTATCAATTTTTGCTTTTGTTGCAATTGTTCTTGGCATCTTCGTGTCGAAATATTTGCCCATTCCTATGTCCAGAATGGTATTGCCTAGTTTTTGTTTTTTTGTATTTTTGGTTTTTGGTTTTTTATTTTTTTGTTTTTTTTTGTAACAGAATCTTGCTGTGTTCCCCAGTGCAGTGGCATGATCTCGGCTCACTGCAACCTCCGCCTCCCAGGTTCAAGCAATTCTCCTGCCTCAGCCTCCTGAGTAGTTGGGACTACAGGCACCCACCACCATGCCCAGCTAATTTTTGTGTTTTTAGTAGAGACAGCATTTCACTATGTTGGCCAGGCTGGTCTTCAACTCCTGACCTTGTGATCCGCCCACCGGAGCCTCCCAAAGTGCTAGGATTACAGGCATGAGTCACTGTGCCCGGCCCCTCCAAGGTTTTAATAGTTTTGCATTTCATTTTGTCTTTAATCCATCTTGAGTTGGTTTTTGTATGTGGTGTGAAGAAGGCATTCAGTTTCAGTCTTCTGCATATGACTAGCCAGTTATCCCAGCACCATTTGTTGAAAAGGGAGTCTTTTCTCCATTGCTTGTCTTTTGTCAACTTTGTTGAAGATCAGACTGTTGTAGTTGTGTGGCCTCATTTCTGGGCTCTCTATTCTGTTCCACTGGTCTATGTGTCTATTTTTGTACCAGTACCATGCTGTTTTGGTTATCATAACCCTATAGTATAGTTGGAAATCAGTTAGCGTGATGCCTCCAGCTTTGTTCTTTTTGCTTAGGATTGATTGCCTTGGCTATTGGGGCTCTTTTTTGGTTCTATGTGAACTTTAAATAGTTTTTTCTAGTTCTGTGAAGAATACCATTGGTAATTTGATAGGAATAGCATTGAATCTGTAAATTGCTTTGGGTAGTATGGCTATTTTAACAATATTGATTCTTCTCTCCATGAGCATGGAATATTTTTTTCCGTTTGTGTCATCTGATCTCTTTGAGCAGTGTTTTGTAATTCTCCTTTTGATCTTTCACCTCTCTGGTTAGCTGTATTCCTAGGTATTTTTTGTGAGGCAATTGTGGATAGAATTACACTTCTGATTTGGCTCTCAGCTTGGCTGTCTTTGGTGTATAGGAATACTAGCGATTTTTGTACATTTATTTTATTTTTCTCTTTTTGTATCCTGAAACTTTTGCAGTTTATCAGCTGAAGAAGATTTGGGGCCGAGACTATGGGGTTTTCTGGATATGGAATCATGTCATCTGCAAACAGGGATAGTCTGACTTCTTCTCTTCCTATTTGGATGCCATTTATTTCCTCCTCTTGCCTGATTGCTCTGGCTAGGACTGCTGAAACTGAATAATTTACATGTGGTTGATCCTGTGGCTATATCAGCCATCAGCATATTTTGGCTTTTGCTCTCAGTATAGAAAAACATGGTTAAACTTGTGCATGTGGATGTATCTTAGTATCTTTGTGCATGTGGATGTATTCTTAGTATCCCACTTGTGGGTCCCGCTTAAGAAAGGTCATGAGGTGAACACACCATGAAGACCCAGGGGATTACTTCAAAGTCAACAAGCTGACCTTGGAATTAGCAATAGTCTTCTGACCTGACTAAAAATTTAAGATCGGGAGCCACGTGTGAGGACGTAATCCACTGAGAATCTTTGTTACAGAATGAAGTGAGGCAGGCAGGAGAAATTGCGGAGCAGATGTTTGAACCTTCACTGGTGCTTTCCTGCTATTTTGTCTTCCACAGGTTGTCCTATATCTCGACCGCTTCTGGTTTTGAAGACTTACTCAAGGCTTTGGCTCGTAACCGGAGCCTGATACACCTGAGCCTCAACTGTACGTCCATTTCCTTAAATATGTTTTCACTTCTGCGTGAGATCCTGGACAAGTCCACATGCCAAATACGTCATCTGAGGTGAGTCGTTGCTCGGCTGAAAGCTCAGTGCATGTGAGGGGAATGGTTGGGTGTTGGTGGATAGAGATGCCCCTTCAATAACACTACCTGCTCCCACCTTTTGATATCATTCTTTCTTCAATTTTTTTTTAGCACGTGATTTGTTTCTCTCACCAACACTATTCCTGTCTTTTGAGTTTAATTTCTACATTGATATTTCATATAACATGGCTTCTCCCTCCCTTGACTGATATTTCTCTAATGATCTAACTCCTGTGGTCATTCTGAAGTACAGACTACTAGTCAAACCCTACAACACTGTCCAGTGGAAATTATTCAAGCCACAGACTGAAATTTTCCAGTAGCCACATTAAAAAGTAAAAGGAAGCAAGTGAAACTAATTTTCTTTTTTTTTTGTTTGTTTGAGATGGAGTTTCACCCCTGTTGCCCAAGCTAGAGTGCAATGTTGGGATCTCAGCTCACTGCAACCTCCGACTCCCAGGTTCAAGTGATTCTCCTGCCTCAGCCTCCCAAGCAGCTGGGATTACAGGCGTGTAATCCACCACGCCCAGCTAATTTTGTATTTTTAGTAGAGACAGGGTTTCTCCATGTTGGTCAGGCTGGTCTCGAACTCCTGACCTCAGGTGATCCACAGGCCTCAGCCTCCCAAAGTGCTGAGATTACAGGCGTGAGCCACCGTGCCCAGCCTTGAAACTAATTTTAACAGTATTTTAACCAAGCATATCAAATTATATCCATATGTCATTAGTACGAAAAGCTATTGATGTGATTTTATATTCCTTCTTGTATAAAGGCTGCAGAACCCAGTATTTCAGAGAACATCACCACTCAGGCACATTTTCATCAGAATTGTTTGACCTCCATATTGATTTCATAAAATTTACAATTGAGAGAACTAATTCACATGCCCATGTCCTAAACATACTTAAGTCTTCCAATAATTTGGAATCAACCTTTAAATTTAAACTAGCCAAGCCTGGCAGCTCACGCCTGTAATCTGAGCACTTTGGGAGGCAGAGGGAGTGGATCACTTGAGGTCAGGAATTCGAGAGTTCGAGATCAGCCTGGCCAACACAGTGAAACTCCGCCTCTACTAAAAATACAAAAATTAGCCAGGTATGGTGGCAGGTGCCTGTAATCCCAGCTACTCAAGAGGGTGAGGCAAGAGAATCGCTTGAACCCGGGAGGCGGGGGTTGCAGTGAGCTAAGATGGCGCCACTGCGTTTCAGCCTGGGCAACAAGAGCAAAACTCTATCTCAATAAATAAATAAATAATAAATACCAATGTAAATATAGTAAAACTAACAATCCAGTGCCTCAGTCATGCTAGCCACGCTTTGAGTGCTCAGTAGCTCTATTTGCTAGTGACTCAGTATTGGATAATGCCACTTGCTAGACCTCATCTCCAATAAGTACATTTCACTTGTACTCTCAATTTCAAGTACCTCATGCTCTAACAGCACCTCCTGTATTCTCAAGCTACTTTGTCTTATAAGCAAATCTTCCCACCCTTTAATCCTACTGCGTCCTTCAGCCATTTAAGCAGCAGCTTCTCACCCTTTCACCTCCCTCATCCCTTTCTTTTTGTTTTTTTGCTTTGTTTTGTTTTTGTTTTTGTTTTTGTCTTGAGATGGAGTTTCACTCTTTTTGCCCTGGCTGGAGCGCAGTGGTGTGATCTCAGCTCACTGAAACCTCCACCTCCCGGGTTTAAGCGATTTTCCTGCCTCAGTCTCCTGAGTAGCTGGGATTACAGGCGCTTGCCACCACATACGGCTAATTTTTGTGTTTGTGGTAGAGATGGGGTTTCACCATGTTGGCCAGGCTGGTCTCGAACTCCTGAGCTCAAGTGATCCACCCACCTCAGCCTCCTGAAGTGCTGGAAGCCACTGCACCCAGCCCCTCACTTTCTTTCTGACATATTTCAGAGTCCATGGTTCTTGAGAGTCATTGCCTTCCATCTCACTCGGCATCCTTTCTCCGTATCACATTCTCCCAGCTAAATCCCAACTCTCTTGCCACTTTGTAGGTAGCTTCTCCCCTACCTCGATGCCTCCCCGCCCCAAACTCCTTTCACCTTGGAACACATTTTCCTCTTGGCCTTTGGTTTCTCCCAAACCTTGATTGTTCCTCCTCAGTTGTCTTTGCTTGTTTTTCATCTTCCTGGACTCTTACCTTTGGGGTATTTCCAAGTGGTTCTAAATGTCTTCTCTATACCCCTTCTACGCGTTCTTCTTCATGGCATTAAGTAGCCTCTCTGTGATGAAGACTCTCAGGTACTTATTTATAAACATTTCTCCTGGATTCAGACTCAATGAAGTACTTGTAGAGATATCAACTTTGATATTTATTTATCAGACAAAGTCTTGCTGTCGCCCAGGCTGGAGTGCAGTGGGGCCATCTCGGCTCACTTCAACCTCCGCCTCCTGGGTTCAAGCAATTTTTGTGCCTCACCCTCCCCAGTAGCTGGGACCACAGGGGTGCACCACCACACCCAGCTAACTTTTGTATTTTTAGTAGAGACAGGGTTTTGCCATGTCGGCCAGGCTGGTCTCAAACTCCGACCTCACGTGATCTGCCCACCTCAGCCTCTTACTTTGATATTTAAACAGGCATTTCAAATACAGATTTTCTTGTGGCTTGGCTTAGACAACTTTTCTAGGTCTATTGTTAGAGTAGATCCATCTGACTCCTTCCTGCTTCCTTTACTGCTAAGCATGGTAGACCAGCCCATCTCCCATCTACCTGCAGTACTTCAGAGCTTCCTACCTGTCCATACCTTTGCTTGCTACATGGAAAAGAGAGTGGAGAAGGGCAACTTTCATCTAGTTTGTATTGTTTTGTTTTGGGGCGGTGTGTGTCTGTGTTTGAAGCAAAACATAGGTTCATTTTTTGATATAGCAGCTTTACTACAAGGGTAGACTAACTCTTTTTAGTTTATTTAACTTTTAGCTTCAGGGATACATGTTTCGGTTTGTTATGTAGGTGAACTTGTGGCATGGGATTCTGGTGTGCAGATTATTTCATCACCTACATACTAAGCCTAGTACCTCATAGATATTTTTTCTGATCCTCTCCCTCCTCTGAATCTCAGCCCTCAAGTCGGCCCCAGTGTGTGTTGTTCCCCTCTCTGTGTCCATGTATTCTCATCATTTAGCTCCCATCTATAAGTGAGAACATGTGGTATTTGGTTTTCTGTCCTTGCCTTAGTTTGCTAAGGATAATGGCAATTTAAGTCAGATCTTATGACTCTGTCCTTTAATCTTCAAACCCTCAATGGCTTCCACTTTCATTCAAAATAGAATACACAGGTCAGCGCGATGGCTCACGCCTGTAATCCCAACACTTTGGGAGGCCGATGCAGGCAGATCACCTGAGGTCAGGAATTCGAGACCAGCCTGGCCAACATGGCAAAACTTCGTCTCTACTAAAAATACAAAATTATCCAAGCGTGGTGGTGCATGCCTACTCGGGAGGCTCAGGCAGGAGAATTGCTTGAACCCAAGAGGCAGAGGTTGTGGTGAGCCAAGATCATACCATTGTACTCCAGCCTGAGTGACAAGAGCAAAACTGTCTCAAAAAATAATACAGAATATACCATTTCACGCTGGGTGGCCCTGGCTAACCCTGTCTCCATCTCCTGTTTATGTACCGTGCTGCGGCTGCACTGTTTGTGGTAGATGTTTAAAACACCAAACCTACTCCTGCTTCAGACTCTTTCCACTCATTTCCTCTAACAGAAATTCTCTTGTCCTAGAGGTTCAGAGCTTGCCCTCTTCTCTCAAGTTTCTGCTAAAATTCTACGTTATTTAAGTCAGATCTTGTGACTCTTCTGTCCTCGAATCTTCAAACCCTCGATGGCTTCCATTTTCATTTAAAATAGAATACGCAGGCCAGGTACGATGGCTCAGTGAGAGAGGAGTTCAAGCTTCTCTCAGTGGTTGCCCCGTAAGGAAGTAGAATACATCCTTTTCTTTCTCTGACCTACTGATTTACTTTCTATAAAGAACTGATCATCTACTAGGCACATTTTACGTTCAGCCCTGTCTTTACAACGCTGGAATTCCATCGTATTTCTTCCAGTTCTCTGCTGTATCCCAAGAACTTCGTACAATGCCTGAAACATGGTAGACAATATTAGTTGAATGATGGTTAGCAAAGTCCTCATTAAAGAAGAGAACATTGAGTGACAAGTCGAAGGAAGCGAGACAGCAAACCATGCAGCTATCTGGGGAAAGATCATTTATTTTTATTTTACTTATTTTTTCTCTTTTTTTTTTTTTTTTTTTAAGAGGTGGGTCTTGCTGTGTTATCCAAGCTGAAGTACATTGGTATGATCATAGTTCACTGCAGCCTCGAACTCCCGAGTTCAACAGATCCTCCCACCTCAGTCTCCCAAGTAGCTGGGACTGCAGTCATGTGCACCACCACTCCTGGATAATTTAAGGGAAAAAAAAATTTTTTTTTTTTTTAGGGTCCCACGGGGAAAATCACTAAGCGGAGATGAGGGTACTAGACACTGAAGCAAAAATGTGCTTGTGGACTTGAGGGAGAGTGAGGAGATCAGGGAGGATGGTACGGAATGAGTAACAAATAGTTAGGCCGGGCGCAGTGGCTCACGCCTGTAATCCCAGCACTTTGGGAGGCCGAGGAGGGCGGATCCCCTGATGCTGGGAGTTCAAGACCAGCCTGACCAGCATGGTGAAACCAGATCTCTACTAAAAATATAAAAATTAGCCAGGCGTGGTGATGTGTGCCTGTAATCCCAGCTACTCAGGAGGCTGAGGCAGGAGAATCGCTTAAACCTGGGAGGCGGAGGTTGCCGTGAGCCAAGATCATGCCATTACACTCCAGCCTGGGTTGTATCTGTGCAAAAAAAAAAAAAAAAAAGTAGACAGATAGTTGACAGCCAGAGCATGTGGGGCACCCAAGGTTATGCAGCAAAAACATCAGAAGTCCTTGTAAATGTGATGGTAAGTTGAGGGTCTCAATCAGATTTCTAAATGTGATCGTACCCACATCCCGCGGTCAGGGGAGCTGCTTGATCCCTGAGGTACCGTTCTGAACCATCACCCTGGAAGCCACGTGGAGACGAATGCAGAAGGGGAAGGAACTGCCTACTCACAGCCCTTCTTGAATCCGTAACCTCGCCCAAATTTGAACTCTGAGAAGTGGCGTGGGGAGAGGAAGGTTAGAAGCAGAGGGATCTGTTTATTTCCAAGTAGATATCTCACTTTGTTGGGTCTGATTTTTTTTTTTAATTTAAAAGAGAGGGGGATGGCTTAAACAGGGGAGCCTCTTTTCATCTCCGGATTCCTCTTACAGCTTGATGAAATGTGACTTGCGAGCCAGCGAATGCGGAGAAATCGCCTCGCTCCTTGTCAACGGCGGGAGTCTGAGAAAACTGACTTTAACCAACAATCCGCTGAGGAACGACGGGGTGAACATACTGTGCAATGCCTTGCTTCATCCCAACTGCACTCTTACATCACTGGCGTAAGTTGGCTCAGACAAGCTCACCACGTAGCAGCTCAGATTGACTTGACTATCTAAACACACGATCAAAGAACGGTGGCAGGGAAAGGGACAGGAAAGCCGCCGAAAGCACGGTCTTTGGAGTTCAGTAGGTCTGGGTTCATACTCTGGGTTGACAGTGGATTTGCGAAACGTTGGCAGAAATGTTTCTGGATTTTTTTTCGGTTTGAATTTCTCAATCTGGGCAGTGGGGTCATAACACGACCAAACGTACATCTTTGGAGAGAGAGTTAAAAATAGTGGTCACGGCCAGGCATAGTGGCTCACACCTGTAATCCCAGCAGTTTAGGAGGCCGAGGCGGGTGGATCACGAGGTCAGGAGTTCAAGACCAGCCTGGCCAACACAGTGAAACCCTGTCTCTACTAAAAATAAAAAATTTAGCTGGGCGTGGTGACGGGCGCCTGTAGTCCAAGCTACTTGAGAGGCTGAGGCAGGAGACTTGCTTGAACCCGGGAGGCGGAGGTTGCAGTGAACCGAGATTGCGCCACTGCACTCCATCCTGGGTGACAGAGCAAAACTCTGTCTCAAAAAAAAAAAGGTCACCACATTCCAAACACAGCACCTAGGCCATAGCAACTGACTAAGAGCAGGGAACCTGTATTCTCACAATGGACACGTGAACTGGGTGTCGCGTGGGATGAGATGTAACTGAGAACACAAGGACGAAAGCAAAGGAAAGGTGTGATGCTAGATTGCCTTGAAATAGGATTTTTTTTTCCCCTGAGTCTCCTTTCAAGAAGGTGGAAGACAGGCTCTCCCTGTATCTATACCTCCTGTGGGTTACTCGTAGGTAAGTTCTGTCTCTGCTCTGGGAAAGTTGCTAGAAAGGCAGTCTCAAGCCTGTAATCCCAGCACTTTGGGAGGTCGAGACGGGCGGATCACGAGGTCAGGAGATCAAGACCATCCTGGCTAACACGGTGAAACCCCGTGTCTACTTAAAAAAAAAAAAAAAAAGGCAGTCTTCCATAAGGTTGGGGCACAGCAAACACAATGAAAGACAGCAAAAAAGTGGCACAAGTGAAGCATAAAGGTACAAAAACGAAGGGTGGAGATCTGTAAAACATGGTCAGAAAACAAAACGGAGTAAGCAGTTCAGTGTATTTAAGGACACAATTCCCCATTCACAATTCCAAATTCCAAAAAGATAAGAACGCAGTAGGTCATCTTTTGTTTTTGTTCTGCCCTTTTTTGGCCCCCCTTTTTCTTGGCCCCCTTTAGCCCCTTTTTAGGACTTGCTAGATTCCAAAACAGACAAACGGATATAATATTCTTTGTATATTTCCTGTAAAAATACTTGTTTGATTGCAGGGTAGCACCACAAACTCCTGTTCATATTATATAATATCACATTATATATGTTGTTATCTTCTTTTTTTAATTTTTTTGGAGACAGAGTCCCAGCCGTATTTTTTAAATCTCAAATTGTTCTAGGATCTATCTGGCCCCAGACGAATGCAGTAAGTAATTGTCAATATGAGCTAATTTTGTTGTAAAAGATCTCATGAAAAGGACAGATCATTGGTTCAATAATCAGACTCCAAGTACGTATTTTTTTTTCATGTCATATCTACAAGTTTTTTGTTTCCTGCTAGATTTTGTCTTTTTTTAATTACTGGCTCCAGGTATAATTTACATATCAGAAAATTCATCCACTTACGGTACACATTTGATGTTTTTTTAATGTGTGTTTAGAGTTGTACAACACTACGATACAACTTTTAGAACATTTTTATCACCTTAGATTGTTGGGTGTGGAGTTTTTCATAGTTCATACCTGTATTTAAAATAATTCCGATATACTAAGCAAAAACTGTTTGTTTTGGTAACATATTTTAAGTAGGCAAGGAATTTCTAAGCCTAAACATGAAAGAAATCAGTAGTCTGAGGAAAATGCCTGTAAAAGGCCAAATTTATGGTCGTGACCAAATCTGACAGCTGGAAAATAGTATGCAAATGAGTTGGTAGTACTGGTCTCTACGAGGACAACAGGGAAACTTCTCCAGCTCATTCTTAGTCTTAACTTGTACATATTAATTTAAGCACACATCAGTATACAAAGGAAAACATAGCTCATTCCACTCGTCAAACCCAAATTAATAGAATTACATATACATTTTCCGATCATTTTAAAGCACAAAAACCATTCCAAGCTTGCAGCTATGCAAAAGCAAGAAGGGACCAGCTTTGGTCTGCTGCCAACCTCTGGTCTAGTCTACCCTGTTCCCATACCAGAGCCAAGATTCAGTATTTCCAACCAATAAATTGGTTATTTTCAATTTTTTTTTTTTTTTTGAGACAGAGTTGCCCAGGCTGGAGTACAGTGGTGAGATCTTGTCTCACTTCAACCTCCGCCTCTCCGATTCAAACAATTCTCCTGCCTTAGCCTCCCGAGCAGTTGGGACTACAGGCGTGTGCCACCACGCTGGCTGATTTTTGTATTTTTAGCAGAGACAAGGTTTCACCATGTTGACCAGGCTACTCTTGAACTCCTGACTTCAGGTGATCCTCCCATCTCCCCCTCCTTAGGTGCCAGGATAACAGGCATGAACCACCGTGCCTGGCCTATTTCCAACTTTTTAGCCCGTCCCCTGTTTAGAAAACAGTGTAGTTCACTGCCAGTGCAGTATTCCCAGGGCAAACAGAAAACGGTTTAAAAAAAGTAGAGGATTGGCCGGGTATGGTGTCTCACACCTATAATTCCAGCACTTTGGGAGGCCAAGGCAGGCAGATCACTTGAGCCCAGGAGCTCAAGATCAGCCTGGGCAACACAGTGAGACCCCCATCTCTATTCTTAAAATTATTTAAAAATAAATAATGGAAAAAAATAGAAGCTGGAAATCCAGATTAGGATTGAATAAACTTCCATATATTGGCAACAAGCTAAACCTGGACAGACAAAACAGGATACCACAAAATGGGCTTACAAAAGGGCCTCTGGTGTGTTGTCTGTCTTTACTTTTTCCTAGTTTAAAAAATCTTCAACCGTTCCTATATTCACTTATAAATAACAAAGTGACTCTTTCATTGTGAGTTTTTAAACTGAAAAATCAGGCCGGGCGCGGTGGCTCAAGCCTGTAATCCCAGCACTTTGGGAGACCGAGATGGGCGGATCACGAGGTCAGGAGATCGAGACCATACTGGCTAATACGGTGAAACTCCGTCTCTACTAAAAAAAAATAAAATAAAATACAAAAAACTAGCCGGGCGAGGTGGCGGGCGCCTGTAATTCCAGCACTTTGGGAGGCCGAGACAGGCAGATCACATAGTCAGGAGATTGAGACCATCCTGGCTAACACGGTGAAACCCCATCTCTACTAAAAAAATACAAAAAAACTAGCCGGGCGCAGTGGCGGGCACCTGTAGTCCCAGCTACTCGGGAGGCTGAGGCAGGAGAATGGCTTGAACCCGGGAGGCAGAGCTTGCAGTGAGCTGAGATCCGGCCACTGCACTCCAGCCTGGGCGACAGAGCGAGACTCCGTCTCAAAAAAAAAAAAAAAACTGAAAAATCTTAGGATTCAATTGATCCAAATATACTTTATCAAACAATGGGAGACTCCAGGTTCTAGAAGTAACTTCTATGAGGTTATTCCATTAGTGGAAGTTGGAGTTCGATTTTTCTCATGGCCTGTTCTGCATTATCCATTCTATATGTTGACCTCTGCACTCTTTGGGGTACTGTTAATCTCCTTTTCCAAATAAGAAAGTCATTGGTAGAGATTTTGGGCAATGGTAGCAGAGGGCATCGAGGCGCTCGTGGGCGTGGGGTGGGTGGTCTCCGATGCTCCCTGTCTGGCGCTCACACTGCGTTACTGACTCACTCTTCTGTGTGTGTGTGTGGTCCCCATGCAGGTTGGTCTTCTGCTGTCTCACTGAAAAATGCTGCAGCTCCCTGGGAAGGGTGCTTCTGCTCGGCCGAACTCTGAAACAACTGGACCTGTGTGTGAATCACTTACAAAACTACGGAGTGTTGCATGTGACGTTTCCCTTGATATTTCCAACCTGTCAGTTAGAGGAGCTGTAGTAAGTCTCCCACAGTTGTCCTGGATGACCGTGTTTCTGCTGCAGTAAGGCCTTGGGTGGTGGGGTTGGTGACAGGGATAAGATTCCAATGATGGCATCATGGGTGAGAGGGGTACGGGAGCACGGGCTGTCCAAGATAGGCGACATGAAAGCACGCTGAGATTCGTTGGCGACACCTTTTAGCTCAGAAGGAGCAGAGTTCACAAAATCTCTGATCCTTATCACATAGAGAAGGGTGCCTGGACCAGGCTCCTCCCCCTGCTCCCAGGTGGACATAGTATGGGAAAATGCCACAGGAGAAGGGACCCAAAGATCCCACCCTGGCCTGACTTACAATGTCTGAGGCAGTGAATCTTTTGGGATGGGCGATCATAGGGGCATCTTTTTGTTGGGAAATAGCTTTATTGGAAAAGGGATGCGCTGGGGGAGGTGGCCATATCCGAGCCCCTGGTACTGGCAAAAGACATCTAACTTAGGCATGATGCAATGGCTTCTGATGCAACTTCCAGGAAAAAATATGTAACAAGTCACTACAGCTTTCTGAGTGTGCCTCATCAATGATGCTGAATAATCAAACTTCTCATATTTTCTCAGAAGTAATGAGCCTCCCACTTGCCTGAAAAAAATTGTTTAAAAAATTCGTTGGAGGCCAGGCGCGGTGGCTCAAGCCTGTAATCCCAGCACTTTGGGAGGCCAAGACGGGCAGATCACGAGGTCAGGAGATCGAGACCATCCTGGCTAACA